TTTGGGGTTTTGGAGGGGGAGGAGGGGAGGGGGTTTGGCAGGGCGGGGGTTGTGGCGTGTCCTGGGTGTGCCTGGAAAAAAGGGGGATTGGGAAAAGTGAAACGTTTAGGGTGTTTGGGGATTGGGAGGAAAGGGGAGGGAAAAGAGGAGAGAAAAGGAGAAAAAAGGAGGAAGAAGGGGAAAATGAGGGGAGGAAAAAGGGGGAGAGGGGAAAAAAGGAAAAAAAATGGGCAAGGGGGGAAAAAAGGGGAAGGAAAAAAGAGAGAAAAAAGAGGAGGAAAGGAGGAGAAAAGGGGGGAAAGGGGGGTAAGGAAAAAATATGGGGAACAAAAAGGGGAAAAAAGGGGGGGAAAAAAAAGGGAGAATAGGGAAGGGAGGAAAAAGGGGAGAAAAGTGGGGGGAAAAGGGAGGGAAAAGGAACAACAAGGGGAGAAACAAAAGGAGGGAAAAGGGGGGGGGGAAAAATGAGAAAAAATTCCCAATCCCATGGACTGGGGGGGATGAGGAGAAACAGGAATTTTTTACTTACCTGGAATGTGATATCCAAGAAGGCCCTGGAATAAAACAGAATATTTCAGGTTCTTATTCTGATTCACTTGAGGTGTTTTAGGCTTTTACTTCTACTTAATTTTATTTCAGAGGAATTTGGGATTTGTGAGAATTCCTGGAAAAGCTGGAATCAAACGAAGCTCCCTCAGGAATGAATTCTGAATTTCCATTCCATTAAAAAAAAGCAAAATTAACTCAGTTTATTCCCAACCCGAGCTCCAGAATATGAAGATTTCTTGGATTTTGGCCGGAATTTCAGGTTTTTCCCGTTTTTTTCCTTTTTTTTTCCTGGTTTTTACCTTGGACAATGATGTTGCTGGACTCGTGGGAGGGGTTGAACACCAAATGTTTGGCCATGGAGTCGCCCTCGGAGGTGACGAAGAGGCAGGAGGAGCACGAGAGCCTCACCCCGCTGGGAAAAGGGGAAAAAAGAGGAGAAATGGGGAAAAAGGGGGGAAAAATCCCTGGACTTTTCCCAGAATGAAAAAGGTCAGGAATTCCCAGGGGCTGGAATTCCCCTGGAATTGGGATTTTGGGAATTTTTTCCATACCTGGCCGTGTAGTTCTTGAATAAAGCCAAATATTTGGGGCTTTTCC